TTGATATTKTACAAGGCCTTGCTTTTATCTCAGCAACAATATTATGTCAGTTTGGTCACTTATGTTCTAACAAAACTGATTTAAAGTAGAACAATTATAGAAGAAGGCCAACAGGATGACAAGAGGCTGGTAGGGATGTAAGAACACRTGTATCAAAGTCTACCTTGAAAGCAAAGATTAGAGAAGGCCTTTTCTAGTCTGGCTGAATGAAGACTGACAATAAGATTGCTGTCTCTTTATACACRAGAAAAATAAACACTGGGGATGGAACGAGAGCTAAAGGTCAATACTGGCACAAATTGGCACAAGGACAAATGCAGGTAAACTTGTCATGAATACCAGAAATGGAAGTTTTATAACAATTACAGAAACCGGGCACCAGKGCACTTTCTAACTGAAAGAGCAAAGACAAGAAAAGCTAACTTTTTAAACTGGAGTTTGACAGGTTTCTGAAGAGGATTATGATTGTTTCCCTATGAGAAAGCAGCATGTGAGCTGACAATTGAAGACATCCCTTCCAGACCTATGCTCTTCTCGATATCTTTGCCATGGTGATATTTAGAAAACAAAGCTACAAAAAATCAACTCGCTGGTTTTTAGGTACTACAAATATCTGAAACCTCCGGGCTTTGAAAAGCACTCCATTAGCTGAGGAATGCTCTCTAGTGTGAACTGATATGCTCAGGGAAATGCTCTCATTTCATACATCTCTAAAATGCAGTTTTCAAGAAATCATTGAGCAAATTTGTTTAAACARTGATTGATTAACCAATCTAAATACGCAACACCTAATGAGGATTATGTATCAGCAAATCCCAGACTTCAGGGCTTTTGCCATCAGAAAAAAAAAGCTTTATTAGCTTTCAAAAAGCATATTCTTCCTATCCACCTCCTTAAATTCAAACACAGAAAGTATTTTGTTCAAACTTAAAAAAAAAAATCAACCCAACCCACAATTGGATAAAGACCAGACACAGTCCAACAGCTTAATGCTTCAGAAAGTAAGGAGTATGGAAAGAAAGCATTAATGGAAACTGTTTTGGAACTCTAAGTACAGYGGATGATATCTAGTGACTGCTATAATACTGAATCTGCACTGCCATTAAATTTAATCTTCGATATTTTTATTGCAACCTGACCCACTATGACATCTCTAAAGAAAATTACATTGTACAYTACTATTTCAAGAAGTCAAACTTAGCTAGTCATCTGGGCCATAAAATAGCAGATTACTCCATCAGGCTGGCTAAAGCAACTAGGAATAAAACTAGATTTACCAACCACATTATTTTTATTAGGAAATGTTTCAAAGCAGACATAATCCCAAAAGACCTTAGCCTCAYACCATCCAAAAATACACAACAGAGAGCAGCAAAAAATATGAACTGCGGTATAAGGTACAATTTGTAAATGTGAGAAAAAAAATTATAAGAGATGTTGTAATATATGATCCTATCAAAGCAAAATAAATTAACTGAACATAGAAATAGAAAAGAATAAAAATTTCTACACAATTCATGCATTAACAATTTAAACCTTTGTTATAAGATCTGACATGTGTTAATAGGAATTGCTCCATTGAATCCCTGCACATCAAGATTTAGTCTGCACTTCTGTTTTACTTGAAATTGCAGGCTAATATAGGTGTACTAAATCACAGCTTGAGAGCAAAATGTCCAGAACAGGCAGAAGGAAAAAAAACAGTATCTTTAACAGCAATATTCCTGAAGAACCCTAGTAYGGTAGCACAACTTGCATTTTATTTTGGATCATAGCTACAGAGCAGCTAAAGWACAGCTTCTTGTGTAATCATTCTAAATGGGGGGAACTGCTCATAATAGTAACAGGAAAAAAAAGCAATGAATTTATTTGGCAATCAACACTTCTCAGCAATTCCTTGTACCGTCATGTTTTCTAACAGGTATTCATGCATACATAATATATAGGTCTTTGTAGATCTGGAATGAAGGAGAAGTAAGGGATTTGATAGCTGGAAAGGCAAGTTTTAAATTTTAAATACTGTCAAAGTAGGTTAGAAGTGTGATGTGTGTTTTATCATCTAACCAAGCATTCATGTCTTCCTGTTTTAACCTTTTTTTTTTCCTAGGCAATATAATCACCTCAGGCAGTTTGGGGTTTAAAGGCTTTAGCCARYRMAAAAAAAAAAAAAAATAAAAAAAAATTAGCCCAGCATTTGTTACTTTTTTTAAAGACTTGAACATTGTCTGTGTTTTACAGAGGTGGCTTTATTATGCTAGCTGCATCAAATGCAGAATGTTAATCAGACTGTGAAGCTCCACTAATTATGTGCTACATTTAAATAACTTACATTTTGTTAAGTGGCACGGCCACAGATATTGTATGCATAATCTGAGTTTTGAGTMATTTCCCTTTTCTTGTCTCATTTTATTCTACACAGGAAATGACAGGGTCATTTGGAAATAACTGCAGCAAAAGATCAAAAAGGAAACTTGATTGAGAACACTGTATAATTGCCTGTGCTAGAGAAAAAAAAATAATTCCAATGACTTTACAACCCATCGCTATAAGATTTCTCTGGAAAACACACACTGTGGTTTCCCTGAAAGGATATCCATTACAACACTGAGTACAGCTTTTATTTGTTGTAGCTGCATCTCTTTTAAAGCAGCAGATCTTCTCCTGAGGCTGTTGGGCTTTTATTCAGTAGGTAATTCTTTCGGCACACATACTCACTGAGCTAAAGCCATTTCAGTGGAAGCAAATCAATTCTGTTGAAGCAAGTCATTTCACTGACTGCTCTGGAAGTGTTCATTTGCAAAAGGAGATAATGCTGTAATTAAGCTCTTGGAACACCATGGTTCTTGTTATTTGGGCAAATCTGGCCATTACATTTTACAGTGTCCTGTTCCAAAAGAACAGGCTTTTATTACTGGAGCTAAAAGAAAACTTTTTAGACATTAGCTGCACTCAGCTTAGAGTCAGGATCACATCCAGCTCTAAGCTGTGGTGTGTCTGCACTGGCCTTTTTTTTTTTTTTTTTTTTTTTGGTAAGACATTGGTCTGCATACCAGGACAACAGCCAAACTTTCAACACAGATTTACTGTCTACTTTCAGCACATGGATTTCCCAGCTGATCTGTTCCCTGAGCAAATACATTGCAGAGCAGGTGACCCCAGGTGTGCTCCTGCCACAGTCACCAAACCATAGCAGGCCCAAAAACTCTGTTCATCTAAGGGACAGCAAAATAGAAGTCATGATCTCCTGCATGCATAAGCATTTCTAAATAACACAAAGTTGCARCAAAAGAAGTCTATTCTGGCTTCACCTCTCATCACATGTTAACACATAAAGCAAGTGMAAATAATGCCATAAATTTGTATGTGCAGCTTCAATGCCTTAAACTGTTACTTATTGAAGMACAATGCATCACCCGATCAAAATAAACTCTAACAGAATATAAGTATTGATTTTCTTGGCTGTTGGAGTGTAGTTGGACAAATTAAAAGCTCTCTGCCATGGAGCTCAGAATACAAAACAGATGGATTGAAGTGAATTGGCGCCATAGGTAAAAGGGGCCATGAAGGAGCTGTACCTAAAGATTGTCATGCAGGGTTTTGTGAGAGTTGTARCTGCTGATGGCGCTTGTTGCTTGGATGGATCATCACCGAAGTCATTCAGAGAAATCCATTTCTGCCATTCCCCAGAGGTKCTGGTACCCTAAGCAGAGGTGGTGCTCCCCAGCAGAGCCTGCCCAGGGCAACCCCTGCTCGGGGGCTGGGACAATGCACGCCGATCTCACCCACCCAGAAATGGGCTTAAGGAAACACAAAGACATTTCTTTTAAGCTAGTCTAAAACCTTTTAAGATTCATGACCCAAATTTACACAATAATTACTTAATCAAAGCCTCATTAAAATGGATTTTACCAATTAAGTGCTAACCACCCATTGATCTGATTATCTAATATAAAACCTCCACCCTAACACAGCAACGCTGAAGTCCTGCTCTACCTATGTATTGACAATTTTGTCACCAATTTCATCATAGTTGGAATTTTAACCCACCTTGTAAATGGCAAGAATAATTTCCAAATATTTGCACCCATGTCAAGAAAAGTTCTTTTTTATAACATGACTACTTAAAGCAACGTGGATAGAAATTATCCTACATCATCACAGTCAAAACACCAGCTAAAAGTGTGAAGTATTTTTTCCAGTGCATTAATTTTAACTCTACGGAGTACTGATGAGCTAAAATATAAGTACCATCCAAAAAATTTCACTACTGTGCCTCTCTGGGCAATCAGTTGGYTCCTAATACAAACTTCAAATGCAAATCTTTTTCAATGTATTGTAACATATATCCTCCAAAGGCACAGTCAGGCTAAAGGAAGGTTTATTTGATTAATTGAACCTGTCCATTTGATTAAAGGCCACATCCTGCATCAACACATTTTCCTATGTATTTTTTCACATGTAAGTTAGAACGAATGACAAAGTTCACAGAGAAGCCAATGAGCTATTGTTAACTGAATGCTTTCAAAATGCTCAGTTTCCAGCTCACTTGTTTCTTTACAGTCAAAGAATAATTAACCCTTGCTGGCTACAGTAGAAACAAAACTCTGTACATACACATGCATACATCTCTCTTAGGGCYGTGTCAGACTAAGCATGGCACACAACCTTTTCTGATTTCGATTGCTGATTTTAAAACAGTTAGACTCACATACTACTAATTCAAATTACATGCATCAACTTACAAATACATACACGAAAGTGTTCCTGATTTAACACAACTAACAGCTTAACCAAGCAATGCGTGTACACTTTTTTGAAATCCCAAATTCATTTTGAATACAAGGATCAAAACTTCTTAACTTGGGCTCTTTAATCAGCCATTTTACGTTAGTAATGCAGGGACGTTGACATGAAGTTGCTTTGAGCAATATAAAACATATGCCATGGTGCACTCGTTAAATAACTCTGCATAATGAGTTCCATCTATATAAATGACTCACCTCATTAATTATCACAGGTTTTTCYCTACGACCGTGGAAGAGGAATTCATATGCTTTATAGTGTTTAAATAAGCTGAAAAACAAGATAATATCGACCATTACAGCTGTAAATTTTTGAAAGGTAACAATATTACAAGTTTCAAGAAACTAAGCATGGTAATATTCCAAATGTTAAAAAGAAACAGTTGTTTAACTTCAGATACAATATGCAGCTATTTAGTTTACAGCATTTTTTATCAGATGGCTGCAGAAAATACAGTGTGGTACTTAGAAATACATCCTCTTAGCCCCTGTGAAACTGAACTCTGAGAAGACAAAGTTCTACTCTGAAAAAAGTAATTCCTGAAACACTTATCACCAGGATACTTATGCCTTTAATATCAGCAATAGCAGACAAGAAGGAAACAAAGCCAAATCAGCTTTCAGATTCTGGGATGGGCTGCCAGTACAGGGAGAAAGTTTGATCTTGGAACACCAAAACAAAAAAGAATAGAAGCATTTATTCTCTCAAGGTCACTTTGCAAAATCAGCATAGTATTTCCTCAAAGAAAAACTAGATTGACACACAGCAGTGTTGTGTATTACAACAAAAATAGACTTTTTCAATGGCCTAAAATATTTATCTTCCTTAAAACCCGTATGGCTTTCCATTTCATATGTTTTAAATAATTTTCTTTGTTTCTCTTTCTAATGATCAGTGATACAGCATTTGTTTAATCAAAAGTTTTGTTTGCCACAGCCCATCTGTTACAATTATTTCTTCTCTTACAATCATAATACAAAACTCCTGGCTTCTGTCACGTCATTTTGACATATGATTTAAAACAYTGCTCTGTGATTTCATTGCAAGCCCAGGTTGAAGAATGATTCCAAGAATTTATCGCCGTCCTGCCTGCTGGATCCATGAGAGGTACAGCAATATTTGCAGAGAACATCTGTAACTGGTTCCTGTGCTAGGGACAGGACACATCAGCTGGGTCAGCAATACCTTTGCCTTGGTATCTGCAAGGCCCACGTAACAAGTCTGGCTGCCACCAGCTAGAGGTTGCCTCCCCCCAAACCCAAAGCACACAGGCAATTAATTCTTACAGTATTTGCAATTTTGTTTAAGTACATTTTTATTGCAGCACTTCACCAAAGAATTCCTGACATGTTTCAGTGGAGACACAGAAATTATGTTTAAAGAGAGTTCAGGACTTAATCTGGAAATGATTCACACCAATTTATGGAAATACATATTTCCTTTCACACACACCTATAATTTAGTACAACTCTAACAGGAATTATTTGAGAAAAGACAAAAAATATTTTATGAACATCACAGACACACAAGAAATAACACATATATCTTTCCAATCAGTTTGGCAGAAATTAATCTTTCAAATTTTTTCTCTTACTTATCCTAGTGCTGTGGAAATAAGCCAGATTTGCAGCACCTAAAAATCAGGTCTTTTCCCCTTCCYCTCCAAATGTGTTATGATATTCTTTATGGACTATGTTATAGGTACATATAATTTATRATATACCCCAAAATATAAGTAATTATTTTTGGCATTTCTGAATTTTATGTCTTTATTTTTAAACAGACCTCTGTTCAACTTGGCACCCTTAATCCTGTAAGAAGGAAAGAATTCCTCCRTTTAAACAGAGGAAAAAATCAAATCACATAAATTAGACATCAGCATTTATTTAGAAAAAAACAGTGAAGTTTTCTTTGTTCTTTTAGGCACATTATATAAAAGGTTCTTTTTTGTTTCTATTTGTTGTGAACAATTACAAAATTCCATACCAGTGTTTCTAGAAATTACACAGAAATAATTTTCCTTGTGTAAGTAAGATTGTTAAGAATAGGCCCTCTTATGTCATATGAGAATCTGAAGGTGATTAAAAATGACATATTTCCCCAGCTCCACTGCTTCCTGAAAAGAAAATGTCAGGAGCTATGTTGATGTGTGTTTGCCCAAGGAGACAAGATAAAAAGATGATAACTGTCACCTTCCACCAAACCTGAAGGTGTCATTAGAGTTGCTGCACAGTTTGTGCCAATGTGGTTAAGCATTTGTCCCTGTTTCCATTATAAATCCCATGGGTTTAGAGCTCATCTGTAAAAATGTGATCTGAACTACAACATGTCATACTGTCTTGAGTAGAAAAAAAAGCTACAGGCCTATCATTTAAAATTAAACAAGAAAAAAATGTTGAACTAATACATTAATTTGAATTGCAATAAAACTCAACCTATTTCTGAGTTCATAAAGTTTAAACTACATCCATTCAAGTGTGCCAATTCCATTCTTATTTAGAAAAAAAATATTCCAGGGACTGAAATAAAGCATTTCATAAACCGGACACACATGATACATTTCAGTGTCCATGACCTCGCCACAGCACACTTTTGTAATAAGTTCAGCAATTTGGACATACAACCACATATTTGGTGGCCAAAATACCATTCTGCTGCAAAAGTTTTGCAGCTTGGTTGTATTCCTGCCCAGTTAATACTTTGGTGGTAGTAAGATGGAGCACCAAATCTTTTGGATGAAATTCTTGCGACTGTGAAAGGATTACTTCATGGACAAGATATCTCTCRGTGGATAATTTACACAAGAGCTATAGACATGCTATTTGGAAAGAACATTTGTTCCATATAAATATACAAAAGACACAGACAGGAAGGGAGAAGTAAAAGGAGTTGAGACATCTTAAATGCCAAGTTTCCTTTTTGTTTAGGGCTAGTACTTGGCAGGATGTGAGTTTGCGTTGACTACAGAAATTTGAGATTTTAAGAGATGTTCCCATTTCTTATGGGAAGAACCTGAAGTGTTTTACATTTTCTGTGAAAAAGGAACAAAAGAAAAAAAAACAGAGAGCAGAAGAAAGAGACAAATTTTATAGCCCAATCGTAAGAGAAATCGCCTGTGATGGATTTAAATCCCCATCTGAATCCAAGGACTCTAAACTGGGAGGCTAATAGCTACTCTAGTATTTTTGCCTTTCATCAAGAAAAAATACTTTTCTGCATTCTGTAAAACACTCTAAGAACCCCTTCTTTGCTGCATTAAACTTTTCCCAAAYAACAGTCAGAAAATTCCCAACAAATCTATACATGGATCAGTCATGACCTTAGTTTTTATGCCCATCTGCCAAAAATCCCCTCCTCTAACCTCAATTTGGGTCAGAAAACAGGCTGAAKGGCTACAGCTACAGGTTAGTAAATAATAAGCATATACTAGAAGAGTAACTTCTTAATATTCCATCTCCTTGTCCCTGACACTTGGGGACAGTTAAACAGCCTGAGAACCATTCTGACCATCAGGTACTGCAAACAGTGGTATGTGAGTACAGCCACTGCCTTAACCATGGCATTTCAGTGGAAAAAGGTGTGTACATGTTATTATATAGTAAAAACTTTATACATGGCATGACTGAGGCATGACTGCTGCTATCAGACTCAGTATTTTTCTCAAATAAATAACAAATTTACTGCTGCATGCATCTCTTTCTGTGTCTCTGTTTAATAGCTGAGATCTTCCACTAAACCTTTTTACATACGTACTGGATTTTTGCTGATTTTGAAATGCAACATTTTGATGACTCCTATATGATTGCAACTTTAATTCTGTAAAGTACAAAACTTTAAATTGCTTCAGTCCACTGTCAAGGCCAGACAAACACTTGGAGTAACAGACAAAATTCTACTCAGATGGAATCTAAAAGTAGCTTGTTTTATCACTCAAAACAAAACTCAAAAGAAATACTTTGAGAATTATCTTACATTTTGATAAACTGCCAGTCTAAATTTCTTTTCTGGCCTTTGACATCTGAGGCCAGATCTTTACTGTTTCTTACATATTCTCTTCTTTTTCATGATTCAACGTTTGGTGTTCGTAGTATGTTGGCACAGTAGGAAGATATCTAGTTAAATAACAGCAAAATACTAGTAATAGCAATAATAATTGTTGACGTTGTTACTGTTATTTTTATCAGTCATTTCCCCACTATATTAGATTACTGAAATAAGAAATAACAGATTCTATAGAAATAAATACCTGGTAACCAAGAAATCAATGATTGCTTTGGCTTGCTCAATGCTGAACAAATTCAGGTCACCTCCTTCTTCTGAGTCAGTTTCTGCCATTCCAACCATCGCTCTTTCAAGTTGTTTTAAATTCTCTCCCAAGGTCATATGTTTATCTGGAAAGTAATCCCAAAGAACAAAAACTATGTATAAACATGACAGGGTGTGATGGGGTTTTTTGGCCCATTTATACGACCTCTTGAAGTTTTAGTTACAAGCCAACACAGAACTAAAAAGCAACAGCAGTCAAACACTTCTCCCTGCTGCCATTATTCCCATCGATAAAGTCCATTAAAATTCTCTCACAAAACCACCACTCTGCCTTCACAATGGAAGGATCACAATAATGGGAGATCAGGATCCTACAGCTCCATCTCTTACCTGTGAAGAGATAACCACAGGCAGAATAATAYGCAGATTTGAGAGGCAGAGTATGTTTTTCTTTTAAATAGGCTACTGCTTATGTATTGTAAAAGAYTRTTCTTCTGGTCATGCCCCTTGCAAYATAAGCYATGAATACAGGAACAGATATTAAAAATATTTTTAAGTGCTTACAGTCATAATAGATTAAACATGAATATGCATAATACTCTGCATGTATCATCAAACATGGAGACATTTCTGCATCCTTCCAAACCAGATAATTACTTTACATTTTTACTGTGGAAATCAAAACCAGATGCCAAAACAGGTTGGAATTCCAATTTAAATTCTGTTTGTTAGCTGTCCTGACAAAGAAGAAAATCTGAAATATATCAGTGTTTGCTGAACCTGTAAAAAGAAAGGATTCATCTTTCTGATTTGCAAAGTGTTTGCCACCACTAGAGAATCATGGACAGTTTAAAAAAAARKTTYMAAWWMMAWTTATTTTTACCTTTTATATCTAAAAAATTCTACAATAAAAAAATGGGGAAATATCCACCGGTGGTGAAAAAGATTTATTTTCCTTATTGTTTTATGTCTCTACTGATACATTCCCTAGGTTTTTTTTTTGTACAGAAAACAAATTAAAATGCTTACAAGAATTCTGTTCTTTTATAGTTTTGCCCTTTAGTGGTACAGTAATCAAAGGCTTGAAGATTTTACTTCAGTTTTCAGTAAGAGAGGCAGCACAATGTAGATGACCATACTAGAAGGGATAAGAAGGAAATATAGAGAGAATGCAGAGGAAACAGAAACCATAGGAAATGAGGAAAAGCAACAGAACCAGAAATATCACCCTTTGCAGGGAAGTGAAGTCACGTAACAAGATCACCCAGGCCCTGAGTCTGTTGCCAGCTCATCCAAATTTTTTCTTTCCCCTGCACACCTGATTTTCAGTCTCAACCCAACCACCTGTCTCAGAAAGACTCTTGCAGCACTTCTGTGAGGCAAGGAGCACTTTACCTTCAATGGGTAGAAATCAAATCATGTAACTCATTCTGACTCCCAATCCACCAAGGTCTCTAGATCCCAAACCTCAGTTTTCCTTGATTCTTTACCAACCTTAAACACATTTTCACTACCCTCCTTCTCTAAATCCATTCCTTCTGCTCAATGCTCTTCTTGCTATTATGGCCAAGTCAGTTAAATTCTCCCAGGCTGATTGGGTCCAGTGCAGGGAAAGGAAAGAAAAGGATCATAAATATAGAAGACATTAGAATTTTGTTTTTAGCTGAAATGTTTGGTAATTAAAAGAAAATTCATCTCAGCCTTGGGCTACAGCATACTTTGTAAAATGGGTTATTCAGAGACTAAGCTATGAAACAAATATAAGAAGTTTCCTGCAAGCATTTAAAAACTACATTTTCTTTCTCTAAAAACCACGTATATCTTAGCTAAAAATTCATGGATTTTCACAGGACAGCAAAAAAAAAATTCACTTCTGCTTGCCAAATCTTGTATCTTTACCTCAAAGCACTGGGACATCAGACCCGTTAAAAAAAAAAAAAAGTAGATTCTTTTTCCCACAGCCTCTGTCTGCAAGCCCACTGAACTGGTTGAGTTGCAATTTTACATTTAACAATTCATCAAATGCAGATAGTGCCATGGAAAAATTCAGCTTAAAGTGTTAAAAGTTTGGCAAAGCTTAATGCAACAAAGATGACATTCCTGAAAAAGGTCAGTCAGCTTTAATAACGGGTTATGCTACCAGCCTGTTGTGTACAAATGTATTACACAGTCTCATTAAAATGAATTTCTGACGGGTTTCCATTCTGCTCYATTGTTATAGTAATATAGTTAGCATATGTTAAAATACTTTCTCATTGAAGACAGGAAGGACAACTGGAATTCCAATGATCATAAAGCACGTACATATTCTGTCAAAATTCCAAGTCAGAAAGGCCCTTGAACTAAATTACAATGAAAAAGTATAATAACTACTATGAGCCTGATTTTAAATATTCGCCTTCTCTTTTGAATGAAACTGCTGAGCCCTTTCACTCTTCCTTTGGGATGGACTTTTCTCAACATAATCACCTTCAAAGTGAATGTAAAGCAAGCATTAGGATCTCTGAAAAAGGAGGYTTTAGAGGATAGTGCTACCATTTTTTTCTGGCTATTTCATTCCCACTAGACCAAGSTACATGCTTTGTGGCAAATTTCCTTGTAGCCACAGGAGCTATGGTCCCTTCATTGTCATTTTTTATCTTCAGCAGCAATGCCAGTTTACTTCCCTCACCAGTCTTTAGTTACATATAGTCTGTGCCAGAATTGCAGCATTTGCTATCTAGCATGCTGAGAGTTGACCGCCAAGGATAAAATAAATGTATTTCACCTGCTGTAATGCTACAGGATGTACTGAATATCTCAAACAGCAGAGAAATGTGCCCAAGGCTACAGTGAGTCAGTCACTGAGACAGCCGGAATTGGAATTTAGGAGCTCCTTGCTCTCACTCTGCTGTAATTATTATTTATTTTACCATAGCAAAGAAAAGGCCTCTTCAGGACCTGGCCCGTTTGTACCACATACTGTACAAACAAAGAATGAGGAATATTCTGCTCAAAAGATTGGAGTTTTCTCTAACAAAAATTCAACATTTGAAAGTAAGAATTATTTTCAGGCACAAGGTCTAACATGCCAACATYTAAGAGGAAAAGAAATAATTTCACAATTACTTATAACTAAATATCACTTTATTAAAATGACTGGAAAACATTCATGCCTTCCACTTCAGATATTTATTTTACAATTCTTAATTATACTTACCGCTGAGGTTCTCCAAAGCAAAATTTAACAGATTCATGAAACCTGAGAGCTGGATAAGACTGAAGTTCATTTCTTTAGCCCACCAAAATCCTGCAGTATAATAATCCAGTAAAATAGCTTCTTTAACAGTTGTGTTCAGTTGAGTAAAATTCAGAAATTCTTCCATCTTCCTAAAAAAATTGCAGAGTAAGATAATGAAATTAAAAAACAAATTACAGATTTAAAAGTCTTATTTAGTCTTCTTGCAATTGTAACATCCATTATTACTATTATTTGCTATATTATTCATACATGTATAATGTACATAATTTCTTGAATTTAGCTACATGAATTACTAGGTAAGAACATTTATGACCAGAGGACATATAAAAAAAATACACAATCACCTAGGGTTTCAGCAGACACCACTATTTAAGTGTTAAGATATGACTAACAAAGGAACAAAAATAAGAACATTACATAACCAAAGATAAATACATTGAAAATCCAAGAAAAAAAGAGTGCTTCATTAGGAATTGGTTTGTGGGATACAATGACACAATTAGTCTCCACTTTCTACTGTCACACTTTCACTCTGAGATAGTTTTACAGTACTAATTAGATCTTGTTTCCATTTCAAAATCCTTTTTTATGTGGCCTCTGATGAAAAATTATATTTGAAAATTAATGTAAATAATATATAATTTCTGAAAGTAGCTAAAATATTTAAAAGTTTAAATTGCACTTTCAYGATGGTCAAAACATTTAAGAAGAGCCTTATCCTATTTTACTGGCACATGATGAAAATTTTTCCTCTAACTTGCAAAATTTATGAAAAAATACACTCCCTTGTAGGAGGCCATACTGTTGCTGACACATTTATGTCTACTCTATCCAAACACAGAATTAGTTATGTCTTTTATGGTAACTGTGTGCATTTTTCCACATGAAGAGAGAGGGGCTAGGACTAGGTTGCAGTTCTTCCAGTATAACTTGGGCCATGTCTCAGGTAGTTCAGTTTTACATTAAAGCAATCCTTGGCACCTCAACTACAGCTAAGGATACAGGTGCCAGTGATCACAGTTTCTAGACCCCTGCAAAAAACCAAAGCTTTCCCAAGCCCCACTGCCTTCTCATTCCTTCCTAAGAAGRACATTAACCCCAGACCTACTGATAGCAGCCATTAGATTTTTAGGGGCTTCACCAACACAGTACAGATATGCTGTCAAATGAGATGAGTTTCTTYTTTTAATTAAAGCCTCAATAGCTAACAGAGTAAACCATATAATCCAATCAGTTTTGTTTAAAACATGTTTTCCTTTGTTCTGCATGACATATTTGTACGGCTGCACACATGCAAGTCGGTTAAAAACACTTAACTGTGTCCTGAAATAGAAGTGGAACRTGGCCAGCTGAACTTTCCAAGATTTGAAACAGTCCATATCCTCTCTCTCTGAAGCTTCTGCCAACTCTGTGTTTTCATAATCAGAGCTCCTCAGGGATTTAGATTTTCTCTGATTCTGCTAACAATGCCAGTACTCATCTTTTCAATATTCTGTAAGGCATGTCAGTGACAACAGTATTTGTACATGATTGGGAAGTGGTGGGACAGTTAGATTTCCCAGTTACCTTCCCTGCTTTTCCTTTCTTCAAGGTGCTCAAGTCCTGTGAAGATGGACAGCAGTATAAAACTCCCTGATAGATGGGAATGCAAAACATCAAAACTCTCATACTGAATCAGATCTATTCTGATTTTCTAACTTTAGCTGTGGCCTTCAAAGTGCTCTTGTAAATAGACATGACACACTGTGGTAAACAAAATTTTAATGCTGCTGCTAAACTGCTTAGTGTGCACAAAATACCCTGCAACTATGCTCCTTCCAGTCAGACACAATATATACTTTACATTCCCCTTGTAAAATATGTATATGTAAATACATATGTGATCAACTGAGACTAAAAGAGCGTATGATCTTCCACTGCTTTTCTTTTTAATGTTAATGAGAAAGTTGCACAAAGAATTGTGTCATTAAGCACATTTTAGTCTCCAGTGAGTTGTAGACTTCAGTCTCCTCTAAATTTGAAGAGGCCTATTGTGCAAGAGAAAACAGGAAAGAATTTTTTGTATTATTATTTGATGGTAGCAAATTTTCTTTCCAGTTTTCTCAAAAAAAAAAAAAATCCCAGAAAGACCTTTTCTCCCTGAGAATTGTCACAAGAACAGAATATACTTCAGGAATATTTCAATCTCTACTAAATGGTTACCTATTCAGAGGAACAAAGCTGGATTTTATATACCCCCCGCCTCTTTCTTCCCAAACTAGATCAGCAGCACAGCCCTTTGGCTTGCAATTCCCTAAGAACTTGCTAGCAGACACAAGTGCTCCTAAGTAATTCGTGCACTTCTGAAAAGTCCCGTCGTTCAAATATAAGTCTGGAGTCTCAGGCTGAACTCCTGGCCTCCTAAATTTAGCTTCTATTAAACACTAGTAACAAGGGAGAGTGCTGGTACAGGAAAGACAAGATGGGGTGACATCAGAAGCTTTGGCTGCCTTCTATTTCCCCAGTGCCCCATAACGACAACCTACTAATACCTTCTTAAGCTTTCCATCCCTTGCTGAACTTTTAAGACCTTTTTGATTTTTTGGCAACTCATGTTACAGTACAGATTTTTACATGTTTCAGCAAAAAAAGTTACCAAGTGAGTCTTATTAAAAAAAAGCTCAGTATCAGCCTGTTCTTATTTACGTCTTCGTATTTTGTTTACAGCATATTTAAAGGTCAGAAACCATGACAATGGGAAATACAAGTGGAAAAAAAGGAGTCTAAGCAAAATCAAGAGATACTGGAAACACAGTAAAACAGACTGGATCTGAGATCAACAGTATTTCTTCCATCTTTTGTGAATAATATTAAATATCAATGATTTAACTGAACAATTCAGCATTAATGACATAACAAAAAGCCTGAAATTTTAATTTTGTTATTATAAGGGTTCCAGCATTATTACTGCTTACTTTTCAACTCCTTCTAGATTTTCTTCTGACAAGGCAGTAATTTGGGAAAAAGAAAGAAATGTCCTAATAATAATCTTCTTTCCGTCTACATCATCCTGATCTTGGTCTTCATCACCATGTTGGTCTTTATCCTCATTTTGGGCTCCTTCCTCCTCTTGGACTTCTTCCTGATCTTGGACTTCTTCCTGATCTTGGACTTCTTCCTGCATACAAGTATACAGGAATGTAATTTTAAAAATGTTTATTTCATTATGTCAGTAACTTTTATCTAAATAAAATTTTTATATTGAGGAGGTATGCAAGGGATTAACTCAACAAATGCCAAAAATATAAGACAGCTATAATTATAAGCCAGTAACACAATACCCWAACACATTCTCACTAGAGGAAAGCTGGGCAGATAGATGGAAAATAGTATTTTTATCATAAATTCATGTGGGAACACAGTGATATATTATGTGCTACACAAGATTAAATTAACTTGCAAGTAAAAACAACAGAGATTTAAAGGTGCAGAAGAATCCATGAATCTAAATTTGACCAACATGATACTGCATTGCTCAATAATTAAATTTTAAAATTAGTTTCTCCTTAACATATGATGAGAATACACACATATTACTATGTTATTTGCTCTCYAACTTGTACTTGATTGCATTTTCAAATTTACTGTCTGCACTGACTCCTTCCCTAGCCAAACAAAAGTCCAAAATGTTTGGTGTAACAGAATGATACACACACAAGGATCTGACACKACTGTTCCTGGGAAGGATGTACATGTTTTAGGGGATAGCAAACTGACGATGAATTAAAAGTGCAATGGTCTTACAAAAAATAAGAATATTTGATAGTATTTTATTTTGTGTGGTCATATTTGAGCAGAGATTTCAGTAAGAAATCTATGAAATACAAAAACCAATAGGAAAAAAAACTGTTTCACAATACAATATGTAGGTGACAAAGTGAGGTGACACAGCACATTGTAAAAATGTGAGATGAGGCAGCCCCTTCACAGAGGTGCAGGGGAACAAGGGACAATGGTCACAGGACAATGCTTCAGTTGAAAGGGACACACAGCGGGGCAGCATAAGGAAAAAAATTCACTCTGAAAATAAGAAAGCATTAGAATAGATAACCCAGAAAGGGAAAGGAATCGCCAACCTTGCAGGCTTCCAAGACCAAAGTGGACAAAGCCCTGCTGGGCACTGGGTGCAGGCACAGCTCTGATCAAGCAGCTGAATCAGTGTATGCCCCCAAACCCCTTCCAGCCTCCCGCTGGGAGCCTGCCTGGCCTGACCACACCAACACCGGATCGCAATTTGCTTGTAGCAGGTACATCYGTAGGACCGGGCTTTACAGAAGCACAGCGAGGCAAAGCTTGCACAATCCTGCCTCCAGCTCCCACGGGAAGAGAGAAGCAGAATTCCTGACATACACTGATTTTTGAGCCTGACTAGCACTGCTCTGGGCTGACACCAACTCACTCCAGCGCTGGTCAAAGGAGAGCCCCCAAATAAAGCTACACTACTCCCCCTGCTGCTGCCGAACTGCAAGATGTACTGAAATTGGGACTAGCAGAACCACAGACAAGAGGGACAAAGCAAGACTGGGCAACAAAGAACATTCATACAGTCCGCAGACTATTCTTTCCCCCTCTAATTAAGTACTAGAGTACTTTCACATGTACTTCAATAAGAAAAAATATTGCTCCCAACTGTAAACAAGTCAGTCTTAGATAAAATGTCTCATCAGAGGAGGAATAGAATAAATGAGGCTTCCTTCACACAGTTAAGAGCATAACATTAGATCACTTTTGTTTTATTAGCAATCGTTTATGCAGCATTAAAAAAACTCCTGCAGTCAGTAATGCTGCCATAACTGAATCTGCAGGGAAAAAAAACAACAGCTCTATACAATAATATTATACAATTATAAAAAAAGTCATATTTTAATAACCAGAAAAAATAGAAATGCTTTCCTGAAGTGACCCGTGGTATTAGAAACCTGTTGAACATGAGATTATTTAGAAGCTGTGAGAGCTGAATTAAAAGCATAACTGATACTGATATTTTGGAAACGGAATTAATGTTCCTCCCTCTCTTTCTCTCAGGATGTTCAATACATAGGATACTTCAGTGGTTCAGACCACCACTATATAAATTACATATTACTGGTCAGTTAGTTAACATCTTACTGGGCATAGTCGTTAGCAAGGCAAAATACTAATTTACAAGCTGCAGTTTAAACTGGAGAGATAGGCAGCTGTTGTAATTCAGTGTTGCAGCTAAGGCTCTGTAATCTGCACATCAAACCACAACAATTTACAGGGCAAGGTGAATGCTTCCCAAGAACCATTTCATCACCTGGAGCCTGGAACAACATTCCCAGCAGTAACATTCCCACCAACACATTACTGTTTTTTTTACTACTGATGATAAGGATGAGGTTGGGGCACCATCATCCACTATAACAAACACAGGTATCAGATAAGAATAAATACTTATGATGACAGATGAGGAACTATAGGAGAAAAAGCACATAATTTAGAAAATTATTTTTTAAAATTAGCAGTGCTTCTGTAATTTAAGAAAATATTGAAGGTCCATAAATCATTTAAACAGTCCCATGTTTGTGGACTGTTTCTGTTTGGGCTGAACCTACACACACACACCTGACTAAAAGCTTACAATTATTTTGATTGAGTATTTGACTGCTGTCTTTAACCACTACTGAAAATACAGGGAGATTAYTTTTATATGTGTTCAGTGGTGTCAAAGAATTTACCATTCATTTTAGTGCTAACTGCAGTGACTGACTGAGGTAATCCAAGGTGAGTTAATTCTAGTAACACTGTCTTCATGCGTCAGGAAAAAACCTCCTGACCCAATCCTACCAATACACACGTTCCCAGCAGTACACTTAGCCTGTTTAAATACAGGCTGCTACTACAGAATTGTTACTGTTTTATTTTCCTTTGAAGGATTTTTAGCTGTTCTGAATGCCCAGTATGTTTCTGGCTGTTCAATACATCACTCCAAATGYTGTGGGCATCTGTTGTTAACAGCTTCAAACCGAAATATCAAACCAGACATTCTAAAACAAAAGAGTAAGATCTCCCTGAATCTCTCAGCCATTGTTCACAAACCACCATGAAGTGTGAAATAGCAGCAACAAAGTGATATAGTTAAACAGCAAATTGCAGAACACCTCTGTGCTTAAGGGTAAGCGGAAGAACTCTCAAAACCCAAAATCCCTAGTGGGTTATCCCTGGCTAGGAAAAATGCCCCACTCCTTGCAGTTTTGGTGAGGGCCTTTCCAGAGTCRCCAAACTTTGGAACACAGCAATGGAAATGAGCACCACCGTTCTGTAGTGGCTGAAGATTGTATTTGCATTTGTTTGACAATACAACACTACATATTGCAAAATCATGGCTTCCAAAAATATACACACAAAGGAACAGCTTACCAAATCTCTTCAATTATAGCAAATACTTGAAGCATAAAGAGCCCAAGATCCTGCTGTCTTCACCCTACCAGGGAAATCAGACTGGACTCAACTTTCCAGTAGCTGCTGTAAAGCAAGCTCAGCTACTCTGCCTGGGCTGACAGCAGTACAGATGTACCCTGGAAGAGTGTTGTATATCAGTTACAAATTCAATCAAAATGGGAATGAAAAAAACCCAACCAAACTACACCAGCAACACAGGCTGTTATTTGTATTATTATACACATTTTKTTATCAAGCTGTCAAGTGCTTCAGCAGCAGCAGAAAATCTTGAAGCTTTCTACATAAATAGTTAAGGCAGAAACAGAAACACATTCACTGTTCCTGTTTGTCTTTAAAAAGGCCCCACTTGTCCACTCCCACAATGGGAAGTTAATATCAATAGCTGCTATTTTTAGTCATAAACATTTCTTTTGTCATCAAACAAATAAGGAAATAAAAATAGCAGCATTAATTTCAATTACCTTCAAAAAGGAAATATGCAAACGTGTCAAATGAAAAAGACAAAACCTACACGCRAAGAAAGCTTTTAAAGACTATTATTAAGATAGTAAGTGTCCTTTTTATAACAAAATATGTTAAAAAAATTTCACACAGCCTGAACATCAAGGTTTATGGCTGACCAAATGTATGATGACATTAAATTTTACTGATGTTTTCACAGCTGCAGACCACTTATAGGAAAAAACGTGGTTAAAAATAAAGCAGCATCAAGACTTGCTAAGATCAGGATTCAGATTTYATAATACACCTTCTGCTGAAAGTCATTACAACTCGCAACAATTACAAAAATATTCAATTTAACTCAAAAGGAATTGTGTCAAAATATAAGAAATTATATTAAAAAATAGTGTCAGAATAGGGTGCTTCTTACACCATATATACAGACCATGCCAAGCAACCTTCAGCCAAAACTAGAGACTATATAATGTAATTTATAAAAACACACAATTCTACAGGGTTTCCAATAAAAATAAATCATAAAAGATAGACAGAAATATCACAAAGRTAAGCTACTGTGTGTAGAACAAACTTCAATACACAAGGAACAGAAAACATGTAAAAAAAAACTATTCACTGAATTCCTCTAAAGACTCTTTTTATAAAGCCACGAAGTAAAAACTACAAAAATTTCAGTGGTACATTTCAAACAGATGTACAATATATTTTTGACAGCCTGTCATTTCCCATAGAGCACACCCTGTATCCTTTTACTGTGATCTGACTGCATTACCCCAGTGTTACRCTGCTCCAACTGCCAAAATATTTACAGAGAGCACTAATGGAGCACACTGTGAAAGATGCATATATTTTTCATAAAGCATTTAGAATACTTAATAACACATTTCACATGGAAGAGGGTTTATTTATTTAAGGAAACCTAAATGTTAAGCTTTTGTACTGACAAAGATGCAGCCATGACACTGGCTGAAGGCGCTTAATCACTCCCACAACAGTCACAGGCAACTTCTTGGGCAGCAGAGACAAAAAGCAGTTCAACCAGAAGAAAATTATCTCGTTGTAGCTACAACTACATAGACAGGCTTRAGGGAGAAATTCTGAGCTGATGCAACACCTCATACGTTTCTTGGGAGAAATAAATTTTATTCTTCTATCTCTTGACATGCAGCATGAGACGAGTTGCCTGTCACAAACTGCACCTCTGTCAACCAAGTCAAAAAAGGAAACAGGAAAAAAACAGGGAGGAGGCCAATGACAAGCAAATAAAGCAAATAGTAACGGAAACACTGCGGATCTGTACAATCCTCTAGAGCACTTCAGCCACCTAAAGTAATGAAAGGTGAGAAATACAACCGTGGTACTGCTGGAAGGAAAGGGTAAGCTTGCTTCCATGCCCTCAGTGCTCTCTGAAGGGAAATCACAAGCTTTTCCCTAAAAATCAGACTACTACCATCACAAATACACCAGCTGTGGGGGTTTGACCCAGGCTGGACGCCAGGAGCCCACCAAAGCCTCTCTGTCAGCCCTCTCCTCAGCTGAACAGAGGAGAGGAAATGTAACAAAAGGYTTGKGGAGAGAGGTAAGGACAGGGAAAGGTCACTGACCAATTATTGTCATGAGCAAAATAATCTCATCTTGGGCAGAAGAATGATTTGTTACCAAGGAAATCACAGTAGAATAATAACAAATAAAAACTACATCTCAAAACACCTTTGCCCCACCCTCCTCTCTTCCTAGGCCTCAACTTGACTCCCCGTTTTTTCTACCTCCTTGCCCCAACAGCACAGGGAAATGGGGTAGGCTGGTTTTAGTCAGCTCATCACATGCTGTCTTTGACCCTGCTGCCTCCTCATGGGGAGGACTCCTCGCACACTAATATTGCTCCAGCACAAGAGTTCCTCCCACAAGGGATAGCCTTCCATGAACTGCTCCAACATGCCTCTGTTCCACTGYGACCTCCACAGGCCCYRGGGGCACAGCTGCTTCACCACAGGCTGCAGGGGAATCTGCTCTGGCACMTGGYGCACCTCCTGCCTCTCCTTCTCTGCCAGCCTTGGTGTTTGCAGGACGGTCACTCTCCTATAGTCACACCCCCCTATTCCATACGCTGTTTCCTTCTTCCCCTTTCTAAATCTGTTATCCCATTGATGCTACCTCWGTTACTGGTGGGGTCAGGCTTAGCCGGGCGTGGTTCTTTCCTGGGGTTGGCTGGCATTGGCTCTAGTGGACACAGGAGAAGCTTCCAGCAGCTTCYCACARAACTCACTCMTGCAGCTCCTCACTAYCAAAACCTTGCCAGAAAACCCAACCAAGAAATAACCATACACTGATAAAGGCCTGGCGAGGTGGTGGSAGGACAGAGATGAGCTCACAGCAGCTGCTCAGGGTGAGGTGAGGGACAGACCCAGCTGGGCTGAGGCTCCACAGTCTCTGCTGGAGGAACTGCCTCTCCAGGGAGGCATCACCCTGGTGATGATGGTGACACAGATGTATTTATATATATAAATATTTGTATTTTTTTACACACACACACACACACACACACACACACACGTTTTTAACAGGACACCTCACGGAATAGATAGGGTTGGCAGGGACCTCCGGAGGTAACACAGGCCAACCCCCTGCTGAGGCAGGGTCATTCAGAGCAGGTGACAAAGGAACGCATCCCAAGTGGTTTGGAATGTCTCCAGACATAGAGACTCCACAACCTCCTTGGGCAGTGCATTYCAGTGCTCTGCCATCCGCAACATGAAGCGCTCTTCCTCATGTTGAGATGGCAATTCTTCTCTTTTGGTTTGTGGCCACTGCTCCTCGCCCTGTGATAGGGCCCTACTTGAAAGAGTCCGGCACCGTTCTCTTGGCCTTGGAGACGCCAATACATTGATGAAATCCCCTCTCAATCACCTCCAGACTAAACAGACCCAGCTCCCGCAGTCTCTCCTCACTAGACCGACGCCCCAGGCCCCTCAGCACGGACAACCTAACACAAAACTCCCCAACCCCAATGGAGAAGCACCACTCCCATCCCGGCGGTACCTGCGCGCTCTCCGCCATGGCCGCCCACCCGCCCGGCACGGGAGGCCCCGCCCCCGGCCCGCCCCGCTCCCCTCGGAGCTCCGTCCCACCCCGCTCCTCTCAGAGCTCCGGCCCGCCCCGCTCGCCTCAGAACCGCGGCCCGTCCCGCTCCCCTCGGAGCTCCGGGCCGCCCTGGGCCCCTCGGAGCCCCGGCCCGCTCCGATCCGCTCCCCTCAGAACCGCGGCCCGTCCCGCTTCTCTCGGAGCCCCGGCCCGCCCCTCAGAGCCCCGCTGCCTTCGAGGCAAGGTCCGGCTCCTGCTGCTTTTGCTTTTTTAAACTTGGAGCAGTAATGAATTAATACTGCGTTGAAACATTTTCTCTGTCAGCTTTGTATTGCATGCAGCAGCGGCAGCAATTCAAAGTAATAGCAGTTACCTGCAAGATCAAATAAAATGCAAGCATTTGGTAGGTGAACAGTAATGAGAACTAAGAAAGAGCTAAGTTACTTTGCGAAGTTTATATGGATGTGTTGAGGGAACTGGTATGACAAAACTTCTTCGCAGTGCCCCACATAAAGCAAGGGCCTCCCAGGATTTCTGCAGCTGTTTCAAGGTCTGCCCCTGCTTCAGAGCAGTTTGCCACCTTCAGAAGGTTGTCATCATCAATTTCTTAAAATGTGCAAACCAGTAAGTACAGTACCTGTGTCCTAGCTGGGTCACAAGAGACAAGAACATGCCCATTATCCACTAAGATTGTGATTTATAGTGTGAGATTCAACACATCGGTATCTCCTGTTCCTGCTCAAACACCCTGACCCTCACTGACACATATAGACCATTCGTGCTTCCAAAAGGAGTCAGAAATCTGTTTGAGGTTCAGAGAGCTGGATCCTGCAGTGTTTTGTAGAATTATTCATAGTATTTTAAAGAAATAGAGCCCACACTGTGAATTTTAAAGAAATAGAGCCCACACTGTGAATTCCTACAATTTGTGCTGTGCTCTGTGGCTGATAGTTGTACAGCTGTTACTGCCCCTTTTACTGTGTGTATAAATCTAACCAAATAAGAACATTATTCAGAGCTGCAAGCACTGCACATAGTAAGGTGTGGAAAAGGGGGAATTAAGTGTGATATTTGGATGCAATATAAGATTGTGTACATTTATTATAATGTTATCCAGTTGGTAACAGGTAGATTATAGACTTAACCCTGCATTCCTCTGGAACTAAAAATTTCATTGACTTCCATGAACATTTTCAATGTAAAAGACTTGGGGGCTCAAAGCCCTTAGAAGGATCTAATTCTGTTTCTCTTGCTCAATATTAAAGGACTGAATTCTCTCTTACACAAAACCTGAACTGAGCAGGTGATTGAAGCTGAGCACTGATTGAAGCTCCAACCACATTTCCAGGAGTGAGCTCCTAAACTTCCTACTTTTTAATTTAGAATTTTAGATAGTTTATGTCAGAAGGCTTAGAAATTAAAAAAAAAAAAAAAAAAAAAAAAAAAAAAAAAAAAAAAAAAAAAAGAAGAAGAAGATTCAATAGTGGCATCAAGCCATGCCTTCTCATTTCACATGGATCCTTCACATTTACAAAACCCACATTTGTGTGCATGTGAGTATTTAAGGTGGCTTTTAAATTTCCTTCAAAGGCAAAACTTGTTAGCACAAAAYGGAAGCACTGAACTTAAAACGCTGACCTAGTCCTTTCCTACTACAGAAAGCTATGGTGGATTTCCTCTGATTTCTAATGGTCACAGAGRCTCCAGCTTAGAGGAGAACAGTAGAGCTCTTTCTCCACTGTGTAGCTGTGTTAGATGCAAAGGTTTCCTGAAAGTGTCTGTTCTAGCGTATGTAATTTAAACAGAACAKATTTGAAAATCTGGCTTTACGCAGTAAGTGCTCTTCTACTTGTCTGAGAAGCAACCAGAGCTGACAGATCTGGTCAAGCCTGGTATTGCCCAGTTCATGAGGATCTTGGAAGGAACATTATCTTTATGCTCTCTCTTTGACTGAAGCTCTTCAGCCTGTGGTGCCTGGGCCACCTCTAGCCTGTACAAGACAGCCACACAGCCCACTAACACTCAGCCCTGGCAGGGCCTGGGCAAAGAGSGTGTTGTTCCCCTCAGTTTTCTTCCAAGTTCTCAGATTTTCATTTTGCTGATTACACACGGAAGCATGCCAAGTATCACAATTCCACTCTRCTCCCTGCACAATGAACTGCATGGCTGTCTTTCTAGAAATACTTGCTTCTTCATCAGGATACCACATCTTTTGAGGAGAGAGCAGGTTCACCAGCATCACATGAGTCCATGTCAAAAGGGGAAGAGAAGTCACAGCTGCAGGCGACACTTTGATGGTGCTGGCCACCTGCAAYTGGAACAAAACCAGCAGCTGTAAGTACTCCAAAATATTCCATTGAGTTTTCCAAAGTTTTAATAACCGAGACGATTCAGTCTCATTTTGCTACTCATTAGAGAGATCCTGGCGTTTCAGGAGTAAATGAAACTTGTTAATTTAAGAAAAGGAATGAATTTTCAGAAACCACCTTTTACAAAGGAAAGGTTTAGTAAACTCCAGGCCCACACAAACRTCCTCCTATTGACAGAGATCCTGTGAAAATGTTCAATCACAAACACCTTTCCATTCACTTTTAGTTAAGCATCRCCAAGCAGAGTAATTAGACCTAGGCAAATTGAGGATGAAGAACAGATGGAAATTCCTAGTGGAGCCTTGCTTGTTACATCAACATCAAATGGACATATAGCTCACCTGGCTGCCAGCCCTCATGACAACAAATTGCTTATACTCATGCCCTGGGGAAGAGGAATTGAGAAAAAAAACAGGCATGTGTGGAGGACTTGCACACAATATTTGGGTTTGGCCCTCCTAGTAACAAATGGGTAATTTGTGAAAGCAACAGGACATTAGTGTTACATGGCTCTTAATAAAGAGCCCTGCATTACTGTACATAAGTGCATTAACATAGTAATTAATCATCTCCTCCTGGCTCCTTTATAACATTCCTCACAGATACTCTATCGAGGGAACAGCATTCCCTCTAGGTAATGTTSTTCTGGTTTACAGATATAGATACACACCTTCAGAAAAAAAAAATTCTGGGCATGATTATGTTGTAGGAAAAGAAAAACATAAATCCCAGGTTGTCAGAGAAACTTGTTTTTAAAACAGAAAGATAATTCTGCCATTTCTTAGGCAGTATCCAAKTAAAATGAGATACAGGTACAAGAGGATTACTGCTTTGGTGTATCAGCAGCAGGACAGACAGAGTTCTGAGTTATTTAGGGAGAAATGCTGCTTCTTTTTTGCTCACCATTTGTCAACACAATCTAGCTCCATATCTCTCCCTCTCTAATTAATAGGTAGGCAGAATTTCTGTCATCTGGCAGTGATTTTGAGAGACTTGTAATGTTAGTACTTGGCCCAGCAATAAGAAAGTACAAGTTAAACTTAGCAAATCATAACTTTTCAATTATTCAAAACAATACGCATACAGAGAAATGAAAGTAGTAAAATGTGTATTCTATCAATGATTCCATTATCCTCTTGCCATAAAGAGAAGTACCTCAATGGAGGATAAAAGCAAATTTTAGATTGATTCTCTTCTTGATCATGGCCAGAAGACTGCTATATCTATTGCCAAGAAACTGAATTGAGGTTCATAGAAATCCTAAAAATTAGATAGAAAAGACTTAAAAGAATATACAGCCCACCTCCAGGAGACATGTACTTTTTCTTGCCAACAAGAACTTCAAGCAGAAATAGGAATTTATTTAACCTGGTAGTTCAAGACAGCTCCTTACTATATATTAAATTGTAGGAATACTGTAAATGTGCATATAACATTGCAATACACCATCAGTATGAGCTAAGAAACCTTGTTTTTTTCTCCCAAGTACCTTTTAGAACAAAAACCTAAACTACGAGAGCCGATGCATAAGATAAAGCAATATGGATACTTCATAGTGTAGCTCTTACAAACTACCTACCCTCAAGGTTAAAACTACCTACCCTCAAGTGGTAAAACAATATCCAGAATCTGTAGAACTCCTCACAGTCATTATTCAAACCAGAACAATTCATTCAGAAATCCCAAATTCAAGACAAGAGAGAAAAAGAAGAGCACTGACCATTGAGTCACTCTAAGCCCCCTAGGTCTTACACAGCCATGAGTAACACTAGGGACAAATCACCGTACAAAGTGTAGGGTTTTGGGTTTGAGAGCATTGTTTCACTGACAGGTTCATTCTTCAGGAAGACACAATGAGCAGTGCAGAATGTGCCAATTAATGTAGGGAGGAAAATCGCCAGAAAGAATAATTAAACAAGTTATAATAGCAAATAGAGATTTTTTTTTTTTTAAATACAGCATTATATTCATATTCTATATAAAATATTTTATATTAAACATATACATAGGTATTGTTTTATACAATATATATGTATATATTCTCTCTTCAGACTACCACTTGAGCTCAGATTCCCATCTACTCTGTATCTTTTCTAAGTATATAAACTACTGTTCATCTTGGCAAGTTTACATGAACTGGAATATTTTTACCCCACAAAAAAGATGGGACATTAATCTTTTGGACAAACTCCCTTGAAATTTCATTTTGATAGACAAAACTTGACTTTTCAGTTTGAACTCCTGTTTCATTCTGTTGGCAGACCAAAGAACATAGAAAGCACAACTGTGTGAAGTATTACTCTTAGTAACACAGCAAAGTCTCAAAAAAAAATTAATTTCACTGATTCCATTGTCCTTACCCTTTTGCCCCCAAATGGGAACATAATTTCTTTCAGAGGTTTCATATTCTACTCCCTTCATGCCTTTGTTGTGAAGCTCTATTGATTTTTGCCACCTTCTCCATATGATGTTAACAGTTTTTAGAATAACATATAACAATTTAGGGCAGCAAGTGAAAAATACATCCAGCTGAAATTACAGGGGGATTTTTCAATAGAGATGATAGTTTCAAGACTAAAGTTGTCTTGTATACTGGAGCTGACTGTGTTTTTTCTTTGTTTATTTGTGAG